GAACAAGTAGGAGCATGGCAGAACACATAAGAGCGCGGCAGAATGCACAGTAGCACATCCGTAGCCATTTTGGCTCTAGCCGTGCCTGGGCGCGCTCTGGCGATGGCGCGGGAGAGTCTGCGCGGGGTGGCTGCGGCCCGCTTCGCTGCAGACCGGCTTGTCCCGCGGCTCCAGCGTGAGCTGCAGGAGGCCAAGGAGAAGCTGGCGAGGGCGGAATCAGAGCTGGTGCACCTCAAGGGGCCGCTGGCGGATGAGGTCAGCCAGAGAGTGCAGCTCATTGTCCCTGTGCCTGTGCTGAAGGCCAAGCTTGGCGACGGGGTGGTCCAACCACTGGTGCAACGGAGGCGTAATGTGGCTTCCCACGTCTTCGATGTCACGGCGGAGGAGATCGCGACGGCGTCGCCGCAGCGGCTCAACGCCATGCAGCGCGGTGGCAAGTCCCCCCAGTTGGAAATCGAGGTCGAGGTGTGCGAAGCGGAGCCTGGTGTAGCCCTGCCCGCGGTGCCGTGGGCGCACCCGTCGCAGGCCGCCGTGACGCGCGCGCCCCTGCGGTCCTCGGCGAGGCCGTTCATCCTTCAGCCGCCGGGTGATTGGAGCCGAGTGGGCCGCCAGCCGAGCTGCGAGGAGACCGCCATCGCGGTGCTCGCGGGCTTGGGTTGCGGGCCCTTGGCTCAAGCGGACATCGCAGCGAAACCTCAGGTTTGCGGTGCTGCTGGCGCTGGGACGCCGCCGCCGCTGCTGGAACACCTGAGTGGGCAGACTGGAGAAAGCGTGGAGCCCGAGGCCGCCGAGCGTGCGGCGTCCTGGGACTTGGACGCCGTGCCGACGAGCGAGGCGAGCAGCGGGAGCTCAGAGACCAGCACTGCAGATGGTGGTGTTGCAGATGCTGGGGCGCCGCCTCCGCCGCGCAGCGGGCCTGGGGAGCTCGGCGTGGTCGGAGGCCCAGCCTCTTTGCGCGCCTCCGCGTGCCTTGGCTCTGATACTAGCGAGTGCTCCTTCGGCGGGAAGTCTGAGGAGGACCTCTCTGGCGAGAATGTGTTTGATGCTGGCGAGCGGGCGGCCGATGCCGACGCTGTCACGGCGTGCACCGCCGCCGCGCCGCCCGCTGAGGGCAGTTCGGTCGTCGCCACCTACCTCCTCGAGCACCCCGCGGCGTTGCTCAGTGGGGGAGGTCCCGATGCTGGCGGCGGAGAGGATGAGGCGGCGCCCGCCCTGGGTGCGGCCTCGGACGACGGTGCTGTCCTGGGTTTCCTCAGCGAGGTCTTCCTCGCAGCGGTGGCGGCTGCGGCCCGCGGGCCGTGCGCGGCAGTGGACGCGCTGCTTAGCCTCGCCGAGGCCCGCGCCGAGGTATGGCTTCAGCAGAGGGAGCGTGCACTCGGCGACAGGGCAGTGGTCGAAGCCCGAGCTGAGGGCTTACTGATGCAGGGAGGAGTTCCAGGAGCGCTGCTGGAGGCCGCCGCCGCGGCCAAGGCGGCCTTCCTGCGCGGCGAGGCGACGGAGGGGCTGCGGCTGCTGGAGGCGGCACAGCAGTCCGTGGACGGCTCCGAGGTCCTCGCTGGGGCCGAGCCGCCCGTGGGGGTCTGCCTTGTGGAGCCTGCCGCAGGCCTGCTGGCGGGCGGCGAGGGGGGCGACGCGCGTCCCAAAGGGGCGGTCGGAGGGCCCCTGCGAGGGATGGCTGCCCGCGCGACCGACCCCCCCTCGAGGGAGATGCGGCGGGAGCTGGCACGCCGCCGCTTCCGCAGCTCGAGCCGCCCTCGGAGTGCAGGAATCGCGAGAGGTGAGTGAGTGAGTGAGTTGGCGTGCAGTTGCATTCGGTTGTGTCCGTGTGTAGAGCTAGCTGTTTTGCCTGTGAGTGAAGACTCCTGTGTTCAGTCGCAGTCGAGTTCACGGTGGGCGGTGGCCCACTGCGGCCCCGCTGGGAGGGCGAGAAGCGGCCCAAGGTGGCTTCTCTCGGGTGGGTGGCCCTGCGGGCCCTCCGCGAGAGGCGGCCCTAGGCGGCCCTTCTCGGGTGAGCGTTTCTTTGGGCCTTTTGGCCCCGCCACTCCGCCTTGGAGGCCCCGTCGTTAACTTTAACTTTAATGCGCAGGAGCACGACAGAACACACTGAAGCACGGCAGACCACGCAGGAGCACGGCAGAACACACAGGAACATTGCAGATTTCGTTTCACATGCTTGGTGGACGAAGCGACTCTTCTCAATGAATGAGTTACAATAAAGCTCTGAAGATCGTCCTAGATGGTCTATTCTGCCGTTTTTTTTTTTTTTTTTTTTTTTTTTTTTTTTTTTTTTTTTTTTTTTTTTTTTTTTTTTTTTTTTTTTGGGGGGGGGGGTGAATCGTGCTCCTTCGCTCCTGGGGCCTATTCTGCCGTGCTCCTTCGCTCTTGGGGCTATGTTGCCGTGCTCTTTGTCTTCTTCTGCCATGGTCCTGTGCTCTTGGGTTCCGTATTCCTGGTCCTTCTCTGCCGTGCTCTTTAGCCCTTGGGGTTGATTCTGCCGAACATAGAGGGGCGCGGCAGAACACGCAGGAGCACGGCAAAACAGACAGAGCACACAGGAACACGGCAGAACACACATGAGCACGACAGCGCACGCAGGAGCATGGCATAACAAGCAGGTACATGATGTAACACACGGGAGCACGGCAGAACACACAGGAACACGGCAGAGACATGGCAGAACACACAAGAGCACGGTAGAATACACACCAGCACGGCAGAACGCGCAGGAACACGGCAGACCATGCAGAAGCATGGCAGAACACAGGAGCAGGGCAAATTTCATTTTACATGCCTGGTGGACGTTCTGGCTGAGTCTGCATCATATTTTCAAATCTCTTACTATATGGGGTTCGGCGCTGCACCCAATTTTTCGTTGGCGGGTTCCCACAAGCAGCGATATCGCTCGAGACATCCTCCGAATATGGAGGTGTTGGAGGGTATTGTCTAAGACGCTTTCTGTAAACAAGTGACATGTTCGTGAAAAGTGTGTATTGGAATGGCCTTTTTTCGGCGCCGCCTCGAAACTAGATTTTCCGGCGCTGGCTGGACCCGGCTCCGGACCAGGCCCGGGCGCCGGCCCGAGCGCCGGCCCGAGCGTCGGCCCGGGCGTCCGGCGCGAGCGCGGCCCGAGCGCCGGCTCGAGCCCCAGAGTCGGCCTTGGAGGTATCCCGGGCGCCGGAAGCAGAGATTCAGCATCTTCGAAAGAAAAAAATGTATTGGAATGGCCTTTACTCGGCGCCGCCTCGAAACTCGATTTTCCGCGCCGCCGGCTCCTGACCCGGCCCGGTCGCCGGCCCGGGCGTCCGGCCCGAGCGCCGGCCCGAGCGCCAGCCTGGGCGCCCGAATCGGCCCGGGAAGCTTCCCGGGCGCCGGAAGAAGAAATTTAGCATTTTCGATCGAGAAATACGTATTGGGATCGCCTTTTTTCGGCGCCGCCTCGAAACTCGATTTGCCGGCTTCGGACCCGGCCCGGGCGCCGGCCCGGGCGTTCGGCTCGGGCGTTCGGCCCGGGCTCCGGCCCGAACGCCGGAATCGGCCCGGGAGGCCAAGCGCCGGAAGCAGAAATTCAGCATTTTCCAGAACAAAATGTGTATTAGAATGGCCTTTTTTCGGCGCCGCCTCGAAACTCGATTTTCCGGCGCCGGCCAGAACCGGCTCCAGACCAGTAACCTAGGTTGGAACCTTGGTTGTAACCTAGGTTCGGGTGCGGCCTAGGTTGATAACCTAGGTTGCAACCTAGGTTGTAACCTAGGTTCGGGTGTAACCTGGGTTGCAACCTAGGTTGCAACCTAGGTTGTAACCTAGGTTGTAACCTAGGTTCGGGTGCAACCTAGGTTGTAACCCAGGTTGCAACCTAGGTTGTAACCTAGGTTGTAACCTGGGTTCGGGTGTAGCCTAGGTTGTTACCTAGGTTGCAACCTGGGTTGTAACCTAGGTTCGGGTGTAACCTAGGCTGTAACGTAGGTTGTAACCTAGGTTCGGGTGTGGCCTATTCTGCCGTGCTTCTTAGCTCTTGGGGTCTATTCTACCGTGCTCCTGGTATTTTTCTGCCGTGCTCCTTCGCTCTTGGGGTTTGCTTATTCTGGTCATGTTCTGCCGTGCTCCTTCGTTTTTTGGGTGTATTCTGCTGTGTTCCTGGCCTTTCTCTGCCGTGCTCCTTCGCACTTGGGGCATATTCACCCTTGCTCTTTAGCTCCTGGGGTCTATTCTGCCGTGCTCCTGGTCTTTCTCTTCCGTGCTCCTTAGCTCTTGGGCCTATTCTGCCGTGATCCAGGTCTTTTTCTGCCTGCTCCTTTGCTTTTGGGGCCTATTCTGCCGTACTCTTTTGCTCTTGGGGTCTATTCTGCCGTGTTCCTGGTCTTTTTCTGCCGTGCTCCTTCGTTTTTGGGGTCTGTTCTGGTGTACTCCTTTGCTCTTGGGGTTTATTCTGGTGTGCTCCTGGTCTTTTTCTGCCGTGCTCCTTCGCTCTTCGGGCCTATTCTGCCGTGCTTCTGGTCTTCTTCTGCCCTGCGCGCCCAGAAGCTCCGCCAAAACTACCACCGCGACGATCCGCACGGCAGAATACAGGAGCACGGCAGAACACACAGAGCACACAGAGGCACGGCAGAACACAAGCACGGCAGAACAGGAGCACGGCAGAACACACAGGAACACAGCAAAACACACCCCGCACGCACGCCGACACGCGCGCCACGGCATACCTTCGCGGCGTAACAACAACAGAGCACATTCCACATGCTTGGTGGACAAAAGCGACGCTTCCCGTTCTTGTCCGGTCAGGTGACGGGAAGCGTCTTCGAGGTACGAGAAGCAAGCGGGACGTTCTGGCTGAATCCTTGAGTAAATGTATATATATCTTTAACTATATGGGTTGCGGGGCTGCACGGGAGTTTTCGTTGGCGGATGACGGGAAGCGTCTTCGAGGTACGAGAAGCAAGCGGGACGTTCTGGCTGAATCCTTGAGTATATATATATATATATATATATATATATATTTATATCTATGGGTTGCGCCATCGCACGGGGTCAATTCATTGGCGGATTCCCCAAAATGGCCATTTCGCTCGAGACATCCTCGAAAAATCGAGGTGTTGGAGGCTATCGTTTAAGACGTCTTATGCTAACAATGACGATTTCGCTCGAGACATCCTCAAAAAATCGGGATGTTGAAAAATATCAAAAATTTTTGTTATGCATGAAAAATGAGCGTTTCGCTCGAGACATCCTCGAAAAAATGAGATGCCGACAGAGGTGTTTTAGAACCTCTTATGTTAAAAATGACGTTTTCGCTCGGGACGTCCTCAGAAAATGAGCAGGTGGTCTGCCGTGCTCCTGTGTGGAGCACGGCAGACCACGGCCATTTCGCTCGAGACATCCTCAAAAAATCGAGGTGTGGTCTGCCGTGCTCCTGTGTGGTCTGCCGTGCTCCTGTGGTCTGCCGTGCTCCCCACAGGAGCACGGCAGACCGCGCGTAGGAACCGAGAGGAGCACGGCAGACCAAGACGAGGAGCACGGCAGACCAGGCTTAGGAACCGAGAGGAGCACGGCAGACCAAGACGAGGAGCACGGCAGACCAGGCACCAAGAGCGCCCTCAAGACGACGGAAAGGATGACCAAGACGAGGAGCACGGCAGACCAAGACGAGGAGCACGGCAGACTATGCCCTAAGAGTGCCCTCAAGACGGCCGAACAACGGCAGACCCCATAGGAGCACGGCACCTGTGGTCTGCCGTGCTCCCCACAGGAGCACGGCAGACCGCGCGTAGGAACCGAGAGGAGCACGGCAGACCAAGACGAGGAGCACGGCAGACCAGGCTTAGGAACCGAGAGGAGCACGGCAGACCAAGACGAGGAGCACGGCAGACCAGGCACCAAGAGCGCCCTCAAGACGACGGAAAGGATGACCAAGACGAGGAGCACGGCAGACCAAGACGAGGAGCACGGCAGACTATGCCCTAAGAGTGCCCTCAAGACGGCCGAACAACGGCAGACCCCATAGGAGCACGGCAGACCACAGAAGAGCACGGCAGACCAACAGGAGCACGGCAGACCACACAAGAGCACGGCAGGCCACACAGGAGCACGGCAGACCACACAGGAGCACGGCAGACCACAAAGGAGCACGGCAGACCACACAAGAGCACGGCAGACCCCACAAGAGCACGGCAGACCCCACAGGAGCACGGCAGACCCCACAGGAGCACGGCAGAGCAGACCCAAAAGGAGCACGGCAGACCACACAGGAGCAAGGCAAACCACAGGAGCACGGCAGACCACACAGGAGCACGGCAGACCCCACAGTAGCAAGGCAGACCCCAAAGGAGCACGGCAGACCACCGGAGCACGGCAGACCACACAGGAATACGGCAGACCCCACATGAGCACGGCAAATCCCAAATGAGCACGGCAGACCACAAGAGCACGGCAGACCACACAGGAGCACGGCAGACTCCACAGGAGCACGGCAGACCCCAGCAGGAGCCACAAAGGAGCACGGCAGACCACACAGGAGCCCGGCAGACGCCACAGGAGCACGGCAGACGCCACAGGAGCACGGCGGAACCCACAGGAGCACGGCAGACCGCGCGCGGGTACAACATAAACGCGCCTTTTTGTTGTACCCCGAACGCCGCTGGCGTTTCCCCAACAGGAGCACGGCAGATCTCACAGGCGCGCGGCAGACCCCAAATGAGCACGGCCGACCACAGGAGCACGGCAGACCCCAAATGAGTACGGCAGACCCCAAAAGAGCACCGTAGACGCCTCAGGAGCACGGCTGACCACACAGGAGCACGGCAGCCTGGGCCGGTTCCGGCGCCGGCCGGCGCCGGAAAATTGAATTCCGAGGCGGTGCCGAAAAAAGGCCACTCCAAGACATATTTTTCTTTCGAAAATATTGATTTTCTGCTCCCGGCGCCCGGGAACCCCTTCCGGGCCGCTTCTGGCACTCGGGCCGGCGCTCGAGCCACACCCGGGCCGGCGCTCGAGCCAAACGCCCGGGCCAGCACCCGGGCCAGCGCCCGGGCCGGTTCCGGCGCCGGCCGGCGCCGGAAAATTGAATTCCGAGCGGTGCCGAAAAAAGGCCACTCCAAGACATATTTTTCTGTCGAAAATGGACTTTTGATTTCTGGCTGCTCCCTGCGACCGGAACCCCTTCGGGCCGCTTCCGGCACCCGTGCCGTCCGCTCGAGCCGAATCGCCTGGGCCAGACCCGGGCCGAGCGTGCCCGAGCCGGTTCCGCGCCGGCCGGCGCCGGAAAATTGAATTCCGAGGCGGTGTCGAAAAAGGCCACTCCAAGACACATTTTTCTTTCGAAAATATTGATTTTCTGCTCCCGGCGCCCGGGAACCCCTTCCGGGCCGCTTCTGGCACCCGGGCCGGCGCTCGAGCCAAACGCCCGGGCCGGCACCTGGGCTGGCGGCCGAGCCGGATCCAGCGCTGGCGTCGGCTCTGGCCGTCGCCGGAAAAATTGAATTCCGAGGCCGCGCTAACAAAACTCATCCAAACAGATTTTTCTAAAGTGCATCATTTCTGCTCCCGGCGCTCGGAGGCTTCTGCGTCTCAAGGAGAGGTGGAGCAGACATTAAAGGAGGTAAAAGCAAGCACACGAACGCTATGGACGCGCGATGCGCTGCCACAAGCCAGCTTCCCGCAAGATCGGTCCAGAGTGGGAGGGGACGGAGCTGGCGGGTGATGGACCACCAGAGCACTGCTCCAGCCTTCCCTCAGCCCTGGGTCTGCTGACCACACAGGAGCACGGCAGACCACACAGGAGCGCGGCAAACCACAAAGGAGCAAGGCAGACCCCAAATGAGCACGGCAGTCCACACGTTCGCACGGCAGACCGCACAGGAGCACGGCAGACCGCACATGAGCACGGCAGACCAAGAAGGAGCACGGCAGACCACACAGGAGCACGGCAGACCACACAGGAGCACGGCAGACCACACAGGACACGGCAGACCCCACGGGAGCACGGCAGACCACACAGGAGCACGGCAAACCACACAAGAGCACGGCAGACCATACAGGAGCACGCCAGACCACACAGGAGCACGGCAGACCACACGTTCGCACGGCAAACTCCACAGGAGCACGGCAGACCCCAAAGGAGCACGGCAGACCACAGGAGCACTGCAGACCGTCTTCGAGGCCTCTTGGGCCGTCTTGGGGCCCTCTTGGAGCCATCTTAGCCGTCTTGGAGGCCATCTTGGCCGTCTTGGAAGAAATCTTGGGCGTCTTGGAGGCCTCTTGCGCCGTGTTAGGGCCCTCTTGGGACCGTCTTGGGGACTTCTTGGGCCGTTTCGGGGCCATCTTGAAGGCCTCTTGGGCGATCTTAAAGCGATCTTGGGGGCCTCTTGGGCCGTCTTGGGCCGTCGGAACGCGGCAGGCCATCATTTAGTCTGTTCTGTTGCGTTTATGGGTTTCTCTGACGTTCTCGCCAATACGGCCTCTGACGCACGTGGTGGATAAAAAACGGCGCTTCCCGTTCTTGTCCGGTCAGGTTCCCCAAAATGGCCATTTCGCTCGAGACATCCTCGAAAAATCGAGGTGTTGGAGGCTATCGTTTAAGACGTCTTATGTTAAAAATGACGGTTGACGGGAAGCGTCTTCGAGGTACGAGAAGCAAGCGGGACGTTCTGGCTGACTCCTTGAGTAAATATATATATATATATATATATATATATCTTTATATCTATGGGTTGCCGCGCTGCACGGGGATATTTCGTTGGCGGATGACGGGGAGCGTCTTCGAGGTACGAGAAGCAAGCGGGACGTTCTGGCTGAATCCTTGAGTAAATATATATATATATATATATCTTTATATCTATATATATATATATAATAGTATCTCTTTTATATTTCTATGGGTTGCGCCATTCGCACGGGCATGTTATAAGACGGGATTGCGAAGTTGTTGGCGGCTTATGGGAGCTGTGTCTTCGTGTGAGGTACGTTACGACAATCTAGACCACATAGCCGGGAACGGTTCGGGCGGGAACATGATCCTTTCGTGAGTCTAGTATATAATTAGGATTATCTTTATATCTATGGGTTCGCGATTGCACGATCTGCATTCCTTTTATTTTTCGTTGGCTTGATGCAATCGGGAGCGTCTTTCGAGTGCGTTTACGTAGAAGCAGCGTGTGTGACGTGTCTGTGCTGGATACTTGTATGTGTGTATCAATAATATATATATATATATATATATCTTTATATCTATGGGTTGCGGGGGCGCACGGGATTTTTCATTGGCGGATTCCCCAAAATGGCCATTTCGCTCGAGACATCCTCGAAAAATTGAGTTTTTGGAGGCTATCGTTTCAGACGTCTTATGTCAAAAATGACGGTTTCGCTCGAGACATCCTCAAAAAATCGGGATGTTCAAAAATATCAAAAATTTTTGTTATGCACGAACAATGAGCGTTTCGTTCGAGACATCCTCGAAAAAATGAGATGCCGACAGAGGTGTTTTAGAACCTCTTATGTCAAAAATGACGTTTTCGCTCGGGACGTCCTCAGAAAATGAGCAGGTGGTCTGTCGTGCTCCCGTGTGGGGCACGGCGGACTACGGCCATTTCGCTCGAGACATCCTTAAAAAATCGAGGTGTGGTCTGCCGTGCTCCTGTGTGGATGGCCTTGCTCCTGTGGTCTGCCGTGCTCCCCACAGAAGCACGGCAGACCGCGCGTAGGAACCGAGAGGAGCACGGCAGACCAAGACGAGGAGCACGGCATACCCACCGACTAGACACGGCAGACTAGGCCTTAGAGACCGGAGGAGCACGGCAGGAACCGAGAGGATCACTGCAGACCACCCAGATGCCGCTGCACCAAGTGTTTACTCAATTGTGCAAAGGGGGAAAGGATGACCAAGACGAGGAGCACGGCAGACCACGACGAGGAGCACGGCAGACTATGCTTTAAGAGTGCCCTCAAGACGGCCGAACAACGGCAGACCCCATAGGAGCACGGCAGACCACAGAAGAGCACGGCAGACCAACAGGAGCACGGCAGACCACACCAGAGCACGGCAGGCCACACAGGAGCACGGCAGACCACACAGGAGCACGGCAGACCACAAAGGAGCACGGCAGACCACACAGGAGCACGGCAGACGCCACAGGAGCACGGCGGAACCCACAGGAACACGGCAGACCACAGAGGGGAAGGCAGACCAACAGGAGCACGGCGGACCAGACAAGAGCACGGCAGGCCACACAGGAACACGGCAGAACACACAGGAGCACGGCAAAGCATTCAGGATCAGTGCAGGTCGCAGGGGCGCCGCGTATCACAGGAGCACACCAGACCAACACGGCCAATCAGCACTGCAACGCCAGGAGTATAGCAGAGCACAGGAGCACGGCTTAATTTTTTGACAGTGCGCAATGCCGTGGGTGCTCTGGATAGCCCTCGACGATTAAGGTCGCTCTCTCACGTGCTCTATGTTGTTTGCACAGTTTGTATTGGGCTCAATGTGGTTGCACAGCTGCGGCAGGGTGTGCGCGGTGGAGGTGCTTCTATTAGCCCTGTGAGATCCAACTTTCTAGTAGGTGATCCTCGGGGCGATTCTTACCGATGTTTATTTTCGGCATGCTCCGACTGGCGTTGTATATGATTTTCTGTGGGTCTCTTGTTTGTCGAGCGCGTGCTGCTAAGACGATCAAGTATTGCAAAGGGTATCACAAGACCCGTCGTGGTGAGCAGCCCCCGAAGGCTCAGTCCGGTTATGACGGTTACTGCAAGTCTTGCTACAAGGAGAAGCATCCTACTCTGTACCGCCAGAAGCAGGAGAAGAGAAAGGGATGTTGTCGATTCTGCGGTGCGCAGCGCGAGCTCAGCGGTGGCATGTGTAAGCCGTGTTATCGGTCTCGCAGCTGCCCTGAGTGTACCTGGTGCAACGAGGAAGACGAACCAACGCTGTGCGTGGCCTGCGAGTCACGCGAGAAGAACCCGCAGGCCGCGGGAAAAAGATGTGCTATGGCGTGTCCGACGCACACTTCGCCTGAGGAACGCAATCTCAAGCTGTGCTCCGAGTGCTTTACATCTCGGAGCCCTTGTTCGCACTGCGCGGCGCCGACTCCTGCTGGTTCCTTGACTCGTTCGAAGTGTAGCAACGACTCTTGCGACGGGTTCGTGGTGTTCTGTAGCGCGTGCTCTGGCATGTCTAACGGGCTGTCGAAAGCGAAGTGCCACTCGTGCTGGGCCCAGGACGGTCGGTGCTGCGTGCACTGCGGTCGGATGCGAGCGCAAACTGGAGTGATATATCGGCGAGCTTGCAAGGCCTGTTTCGCTGCGCGCTCGTGCGCCGTCTGCCACGCCGTGCCGCCGGCGTCGCTGGAGACCCCGCAGTGCGAGATGTGCGACAACCTCGCTCTGTGGTGTCCTGAGTGCACCACACCAGAGCAGCGGGCGGCGGGCCTATGTAAAACACATTGGGATTCCCCCGAGTGCGCATTCTGTTACAGGACCGAGGGCCCCGCCACCAAGGAACCGCTGCAGGTGTCCATGATCGAATGCGGAACAGAGAGCTGCACCAAAGTCGTGAGGAGCTGCTCTGTGTGCTCCTCGCATTTCCAGAAGAGCGCGGCGCTGTGCGACGTGTGCTGGAGGGCAGCTGGCTCCAAGTGCATCGGATGCGGTGTCAAACCAGCCCAGAACGCCAGGGTGTATCAGCACTTTTGCCACAAATGCTTCGGGGAGGAGAGGCTGGCAGACCTCGTCCGTGACGAGAGCAGGAAGTTCCTCGCCGACGAGCCGCGACCGCAGAGGCTCGACGACGACGTCGCCCGATCCGCAGAGCAGGAAGTTCCTCGCCGACGAGCCGCGACCGCAGAGGCTCGACGACGACGTCGCCCGATCCGCACCCGCTTTGCAGGTACTCCTCGCTCTGGCAAAGCCCGAGCCCGGGTCCTTGCCGAAGTACGCGGAGACGCCCGAGTACCTGGACCCGACCCATTGCCGCTTCTGCAAGCAACCGTGGGGCGGCTCCGACGACGACGACAAGCGACGGCACCTGCTCGAGGAGTGCAGGCATGATCTCCATCAACGAGACGGCGAAGACATTCTCCAGACGCACCGGAGGACAGTGCTGGAACGGGCGCTCGCAGAGGGCCTGGACGCGGTCAGTCCGCAGGTGGGCAGGTTTTGTGTGGCGCAGTACAAGAATGCGCAGACGGACGAACGCTACGTCCATGATGCCTGTGCCGTCTGCTGTCGAAAGACGCCCAAGTGCGACTTGAATCGAGTTCACATCCCATCGTCGAGCAGCGACACGTGCCCGGAGTGGTTATCGTGGTCCGATGAGTTCTGGAATGAAAACAAGGAGACGTGGTACGAGCAGGTCGACAAGCTCCTCAGCATTGAACAGTACTTGAAAAAGTTCTACAAGGTGTCTGAGCGAGCCCAGGAAGCGCGAGAGAGCGTGGAGGCGTGCAGCCGCGGGGAGCCCCACGAGCTCGGGTTCACGAAGGTGGAGGACGCAAAGAACTGGGTGGACCGCGTGCGCCGTTGGGAAGACAATCTGAGGAGAGACATGCGGGAGCACTCCGTTGTCTCTCCAGGTGGCGCTCTCTCTCGTTGTCCCAGCTTCTGTTGTCGTTAGAACCTCTTATGTCAAAAATGACGTTTCCGCTCGGGACGTCCTCAGAAAATGAGCAGGTGGTCTGCAGACCATACAGGAGCACGCCAAACCACACAGGAGCACGGCAGACCACACGTTCGCACGCCAAACACCACAGGAGCACGGCAGACACCAAAGAAGCACGGCAGTGGTGTTGCTGGTTTGGTCCCCTCGGGATACCGCATTGACGTGTTGCTGGTTTGCCCCCCCCAGCATACCTTCTTGACGTGTTGCTGGTTTGCCCCCTCAGGATGACTTCTTGGCGAGTGGCTGGTTTTGCCTCAGGGTAACTTATTCAAGTGTTGGTAGTGGACCACCTCAGCACCTTCTTGGCGTGTTGCTCGTTTGCCCCCCTCAGCATAACCTTTGACGTGTTGCAAGACCTGCCCCGTCAGGATACCTTCTTCACGTGTTGCTGGTTTGCCCCCCTCAGCATCTTTTGGACCTGTGGCTGGTTTGCCCCCTCAGGATAACTTCCTGACGTGTTGCTGGTTTGCCCCCCCCAGGATAACTTCTTGACGTGTTGCTGGTTTGCCCCCCAGGATAACTTCTTGACGTGTTGCTGGTTTGCCCCCCTCAGCACCTTCTTGACGTGTTGCTGGTTTGCCCCTTCGGGACAACATCTTGACGTGTTCCTGGTTTGCTCCCAAGGAGCAAGGCAGACCTCACAGGAGCACGGCAGACCACTTTGCGATTTTTTGAGGATGTCTCGAGCGAAATGGCCGTGGTCTGCCGTGCTCCACACGTCAGCATGCCCCGTTGTCTCTCCAGGTGCGCTCTCTCTCGTTCTCGCAGCTTCTGTTGTCGTTAGAACCTCTTATGTCAAACATGACGTTTTTGCTCGGGACGTCCTCAGAAAATGAGCAGGTGGTCTGCCGTGCTCCCGTGTGGAGCACGGCAGACCACGGCCATTTCGCTCGAGACATCCTCAAAAAATCGCAAAGTGGTCTGCCGTGCTCCTGTGTGGTCTGCCTTGCTCCTGTGGTGTGCCGTGCTCCTGTGTGGTCTGCCGTGCTCCTGTGGTCTGTCGTGCTCCCCACAGGAGCGCGGCAGACCGCGCGCAGGAACCGAGAGGAGCACGGCAGACCAAGACGAGGAGCACGGCAGACCAGGCTGTTGTCTTGTGCGCACCCCAGGTGATCCGAATCATCGGTGGGTATTGTACAAGTCCGCAGTATGCACGGATGCGCCCGAGGGCAGCAGCGGAGATCTTCGCGTGAGCATGTGCAAGGAGTGCGCCGAAGCATTGTCGAACACGCACACAGACAGCCGCGGGCGGTGCCGCCCGCGCGTACGCATGCCCCGCGAGGCTCTCGCGAATGGCATGTGGCGTGGTCCTGACCCGGAAGAGCTGACGAACTTAACGTACACCGAGTGCAAGGTGATCAACCTGGCGAGGGTGTACGTCAGCGCGAAGCGCGTGTTGTTGGACAGGGCGTCTTTCGCCAGGACGAGTGCCGACGAGGCGCCGCGCTATCACCAGAAGAACGTTGTTGCGTACCCGCAGAGCCCGGACGCGGCTCTGACTGCCATCGGACTGTCGCCGATGGCCCTGGCGCACACTCTGATCGTCCAGTTCGTGGGAAGCCGCGCTGACGGTATCTGGCATCACCCTGACTTGCAAGTTTCCGTGGTGCGACTTCGAGCAGCATTTCGTTGGTTGTGCTCCAACAGCTGGAACCACATGGAAGCCACGCGACACCATGCCGCATGTGCGGATTCTGGCTTACTCCACGAGTCGATCGAGGAGTTGCTGGACGCGTACGCGACGAGCGTTGGTGGATCCTCGGGCGTTCCGCGCGAGCTCGTCGACTCGGCGACGTCGATCAGCGGCTCAAGAGCTTCGGTGCAGTCTAAAGGACCAGCTGACTGCACGGAAGAAGGTGAACGCGACACGGAGGAGAACGGGCCCGAAGAGGCGGAGAACGCCGCCGTCGTTAACGGCGGTTTAGCAGACGTCGACTCCCTGCAGCTGTGGACACAGGTCATCAAAAACTTTAAGGCGGCACAGCGGATTAAAGAGGAATTGGCCGCTCTAGACCCCGCCGACTTATCTGCTCGCGCCGAGAAGAAGAGAATGCACGGTGTGAGCATGGCCCAGGCCATCGAAGACCTGGAGAAGCTGTCGAAAGAGAAGATGCGAAAACGTTTGGAAGAGTGGGCGCGGTCGGAGACTGACGACAGAGCGCCCTTGAAGATCACGCACGAGACCACGTTCTTGTCTGCTCGCACGCCGAACTTTTGGGCGTCCTGCTTCGTTCGGCTGTTTCCTCGGGGAGACTGTCAGGAAACATGCCCAGAACGTAAAGCGGCGGATAGTACCGTATCGTTCTTGTCTTCCAATAAGTGGATCCAGTGCTTACTTTAACGAGCAGATTGTGATTACTGGCGGAAGGACCTGGAGTTCGTCGCATCCGTGGTCAACATCTTTATGCGTCGAGATCAGATGAGCAAGGTGGAAGCGTGCATGAGGGAAATGCCCGGCGGCGGCTTCATGGGCATAACTCCCGATGAGATGCAAAGGATGAACGAGATCACAGCGTAAGGTTTGGTTGCCGCCGCGATCGCGATGGGAGGTGATGCGAAGGGTATGAGCGATCTTCTGAGGAATAAAAAGTTGACCCAACCAGTCCGCACAGCCGCTGAAAAAATGCAGGCCGTGTCCCGGAAAGTGCGTGGATCTGCCGAAGAGCGGGACTCGTGCAGGTGGAATTTCCGAGCTCTTCAGATAAACTCGGGCTGCTCGACTTTGTTCTTCACGCTGAATCCCCACGACATTCGCAGTCCGCTGACGGTGCTACTGGTGCAGGACGGCACGGAGATGCAGAGGCGATTCTCCCTGAACATGAGCGACAAGGAGGCGGAGGACTGGATGAAAGAATTACAAGCAGAGCACCCTCGTCTTCTCCACCGTCGCGTGGCGCAAGACCCTTACTATGCCCAGAAAGTTTTCCACTCGACCGTCAAAGACGTGATGCGCTATATATTCAACTGCGCTGATGGACCCTCGCACCTGCCTCCGGATGGCATCGCGGCGAGCGAGGTGCCCGGTGTATTCGGGTACGTGCGCTCCTATCTCGGAGTTGTTGAGGAACAGATGCGGAAGGCGCTGCACATACACATGCTCGTGCAGATTCTTGGCTTCTCGCATCCCGACGATATCTTCAAGAAGAACTCTTTCCTCGACGAGTTTAAGCGTCTCTACTACTATCAGGGCCAGCCTGAGCAACTCTTCGAATCTTTGACACGTGCTTCTGGGATATGTTATGTTCTCTTCGAGAACACCTTGGAAGTTGAGCCTCGCGATTCAAGAGCCTCCCGACCCTGCATCATGAACCTGTGGGACTACTGCCAAAGACGTTTGCTGTGTCGCGGCTCGAACCTGGCTCTGAAGAGGGATTTTCCAAGGACGAGCTTCAGCACCGAAGTTGATCCCCTGCTGTGCGTATACTCAGAAGCTTGGCTATGGGAAATGGGCCTTTGGAAAGCCCGCGACAAGCTTACCTCTTCAACGACCACACGTTGGTTGGCGACAGCGGGAGAAGCGTATGATGACCTTTTTCTGCAAACCAGTCTGCCCGAGGTGCCCATGATGGCCCTCGAGTCTCAGCCTTGTCGTACCTTTTGTCTACGAAGAACGATGACATGTTCCGCCCTGTGCGTGAGCTTCGTGGCGTCAACGAGGACGCCGAGGACTTGTACACGAAAAGTGCAGCAACGTTGCGAGACGCCACTGCACGGCGACAGACCGTGCTCACAGACGAAGAGATGAAGGCGTGCAAGTCGGCGGCGATAGCGGGCGTCACTGCCACTGTATCAGAACGGGCAGAACGGCAGCCGCTCCGTAATGTCATCTTGACACAGCCTCTGTATCGCCCAGCCTTGCAGAGGATAGACGCAGACAAGATGCTCATCACTCTCGGACAGAAGATCTTCGAGAGATTCATGAGCTCGCACGGCAGCGCGTTCATTGACGTTCGATATCAGCTGGTCCGCCATAAGTGCGACGAGCTTCACATCGGCGGACAGCTCTTCCATAGAAAGCATTGCGGCAGCACTAGAATCGCTGCGACCATCGTGAGCACAGTGGACGGCAAACCGTCGGAACTTTTACATATGTATTTCGCGATGGAGCTGCCGCACCAGCACAATCTGCAGGCAAACTTGCTCGCTCGGGTGAAGGGCTTGCAGATGGCAACGAGCGTTGCTGCCGAATTATGCGCTTTTGCTGCGAGCCCGATGTTTTGCTTGAAGTTGCCTGCTGGCAACGACGGCGCAGCTGCGCAGCATGAGTGGAACTCATTTGACGGACCCATAGCAAGGCCGCACAGGTGGGTTGAGCAGTCCCGTTCGCAAGGTCCAGACGTCCTCAAAGACGATTTCACCGCGCTGCTGCAAGCTGTACAGAGTCCTCATTTAGACACTACCAGCCATGAAGGGTTTATGTTATTCGAGCATCCTTTTTTTCGGCGCTTTCCCTGAGCTGTCCCTATCGTGCAGAGGCTGGTTGGGTCTCTCTCGGTAAGCGTCACACTGCTGCTTGTTCGGAAGACGCCGTTGCTACTTCGCTTCGAACAGCTCTGAGTACTGCAAGATAAAACAGCGGAACGGGGTGGCCTGGCCTCGCGCGGCTGCACTCGGAGCGGTTCGGCTTGCGCGGTGGAGTACTCACGCATTTTTGTATTCTGAGTGTGAGGATGAGGACACATAACGTATTCATGTGCTCTGTGGGGTGCCGTGCTCTGTGGGGGTCTGCCGTGCTGCTGTGGGGGTCTGCCGTGCTTCTGTGGTCTGCCGTGCTCATTTGGGGCAGGCCCCACATGAGCACGTCAAATCCCAAATGAGCACGGCAGACCCCCACAGGAGCACGGCAGACCACACAGGAGCACGGCAGACTCCACAGGAGCACGGCAGACCACAGAAAGGAGCACGGCAGACCACAAATGAGCACGGCAGTCCACACGTTCGCACGGAAGACCGCACAGGAACACGGCAGACACCACATGAGCACGGCAGACCGAGAAGGAGCACGGCAGACCACACAGGAGCACGGCAGACCACACAGGAGCACGGTACACCACACAGGACACGGCAGACCCCACGGGAGCACGGCAGACCACACAGGAGCACGGCAAACCACACAAGAGCACGGCATGCCATACAGGAGCACGCCAGACCACACAGGAGCACGGCAGACCACACGTTCGCACGGCAAACTCCACAGGAGCACGGCAGACACCAAAGAAGCACGGCAGTGGTACGTGGCACGGCTGTGGTATGCCGTACTAAAAACGTGGAATATCTCATAAGCCCAGGGGACAAAAGCACGCTTCCCGTTCTTGTCCGGTCAGGTTCCCCAAAATGGCCGTTTCGCTCGAGACATCCTCGAAAAATCGAGATGTTGGAGGCTATCGTTTAAGACGTTGTATGTTAAAAATGACGGTTTCGCTCGAGACATCCTCAAAAAATCGGGATGTTGAAAAATATCAAAAATTTTTGTTATGATGAAAAATGAGCGTTTCGCTCGAGACATCCTCGAAAAAATGAGATGCCGACAGAGGTGTTTTACAACCTCTTATGTTAAAAATGACGTTTTCGCTCGGGACGTCCTCAGAAAATGAGCAGGAGCACGGCAGGCGGAAAAAAAAGAGCACGACAGACCACACAGGAGCACGGCAGACTCCACAGGAGCACGGCAGACCACAAAGGGAACACGGCAGACCACACAGGAGCCCGGCAGACCCCACACGAATACGGCAGACTCCAAAGGAGCACGGCAGACCACACAGGAGCACGGAAGACCACACAAGAGCACGGCAGACCCAACAGGAACACGGCAGACCCAAAACGAGCACGGCAGAGCCGACAGGAGCACGGCAAACCCCGCAAGAGCACGGCAGACCGCACAGGAGCACGGCAGACCACACAGGATCACGGCAAACCCCACAGGAGCACAGCAGTCCACACAGGAGCACGGCAGACCCCAAAGGAGCACGGCAGACCACAGGAGCACGGCAGACCACACAGGAGCACGGCAGACCCCACACGAGCACGGCAGACCAAAGAGACGACACAAGGAGCACAGCAGATCCCACAGGAGCAGGGCAGACACCACACGAGCACGGCAGATCCCAAATGAGCACGGCAGACACAGAAGCACTGCAGACCACACAAGAGCATCGCAGACCTCACAGGAGCACGGCAGACCCCACAGGAGCACGGCAGACCCCACAGGAGCAACACGTCAAGAAGTTATCCCGAAGGGGCAAACCAGCAACACGTCAAGAAGGTGCTGAGGGGGGCAAACCAGCAACACGTCAAGAAGTTATCCTGGGGGGCAAACCAGCAACACGTCAAGAAGTTATCCTGGGGAGGGCAAACCAGCAACACGTCAAGAAGTTATCCTGAGGGGGCAAACCAGCCACAGGTCCAAAAGATGCTGAGGGGGGCAAACCAGCAACACGTGAAGAAGTTATCCTGACGGGGCAAACCAGCAACACGTCAAAGGTTATCCTGAGGGGGGCAAACGAGCAACACGCCAAGAAGGTGCTGAGGTGTCGACCACCAACACTTCAATAAGTTACCCTGAGGCAAAACCAGCCACTCGCCAAGAAGTCATCCTGAGGGGGCAAACCAGCAACACGTCAAGAAGGTGTTGAGGGGACAAACCAGCAACACGTCAAGAAGGTATCCTGGGGGGGGCAAACCAGCAACACGTCAATGCGGTATCCCGAGGGGACCAAACCAGCAACACCACTGCCGTGCTTCATTGGTGTCTGCCGTGCTCCTGTGGAGTTTGCCGTGCGAACGTGTGGTCTGCCGTGCTCCTGTGTGGTTTGGCGTGCTCCTGTATGGTCTGCCGTGCAAACCACAAAGGAGCAAGGCAGACCCCAAATGAGCACGGCAGTCCACACGTTCGCACGGCAGACCGCACAGGAGCACCGCAGACCCCACATGAGCACGGCAGACCAAGAAGGAGCACGGCAGACCACACAGGAGCATGGCAGACCACACAGGAGCACGGCAGACCACACAGGAGCACGGCAGACCACACGTTCGCACGGCAAACCACACAGGAGCACGGCAAACCACACAAGAGCACGGCAGACCATATCGAAGCGCAATAGGCCAAGAAACTAAGCACCAAATGGGCGGCCTAGACTGCACTGTAGCGCATAGTCTCGCGGCAGACACCAAAGAAGCCACGCAGTGGTACGTGGACTGCTGTGGTATGCGTACTAAAAACGTGAGGAATATCTCCATAAGCCCAGGGGAAAAGAGACGCTTCCCGTTCTTGTCCGGTCAGGTTCCCCAAAATTGCCATTTCGCTCGAGACATCCTCGAAAAATCGAGGTGTTTGGGGGGGGAGGCATCGTTTAAAAAGACGTCTTTATCTAAAATGAAACGGTTTACGCTCCGAGACATCCTAACAAAACATCGGGATGTTGAAAAATAACCAGATTCGAGGCTAACGGAAAAAGAAAAATTTTAGTAATGCAATGAAAAATGACGATTCGCTCGAACATCCTCGAAAAAATGAGATGC